TATATATATATATATATATATATATATATATATATATATATAAATATCTGGGAAAACATGTATATATACATATATATGTGATGCACAATATTATTAGCATGTTATTGGTATTGGACAATAATACTGTTAAAGTTCAATATCGGACATCAACCATTCCATCAAAATAACTCACCGATATAAAAGACAATGTTTTTGTATGACAACCCAGTGACAAGGATGCCTGCAGGGCCAGCACAACTCGATGACGTCACGCGTGCCTACCTGATTTGATCACAGCGTAAAGGAATAAATCAAAATGTCGGCAGTGTGCAAGTTTTTTATTCATTGAGGATATTTGGATTTCAAAGATTTCTGGACTGTGTTGAGCCTCGCTACATCGTCCCCAGTTGGAGATATATTTCTGACATAACCTTACCCGAGTTACAAGCCGTCATTTTCAACATCATTGAGAAGCTAATAGTCGATAGCACTTTGGTGAGATTTACCACAGACATTTGGATGTCAAGTGTTAGTTCCGTTTGCATGATTAGTCTTAAGGCACAATGGATATAAAAATAAAAAAAAACTTCAAACTTAAAAAGGCTGTCCTTCATGCACAAGAGTGCAGAGGATCCAACACTGCAGCTAGAAACTCGAAACAAGCATCCACATGTGAGACAGTATTGCAGGTGACTAGTTCTAATAAATAACATTTAACACTTCAATTATTATAAGTTAAAGTGCTATGCATATGATATTGCTGTTACTGTGTCACCAGCTCTTACAGCTGTTACACTAGGGCTTTAACAGACTACTCAAGTAATCTACACATCGATTCCTAGGACACCTATCGAGGTTTTTAATTTTATGTCGAGTATTTGTGGTGATGTCATTATGCCACCGTTACATCATCGTGTCAAGTGTCACATGATCCGCACTGGGTGCGGGTTACAATATGGATTCCTCCAAGCAGAAGGATGGAGAAGAGCAGGCCCAGTCTTGACAAACAGGTAGAAATGCATCGATGGTCTGGAAATATTCCACTAAAGATCAATATTCTGGTTAAACTATTGTAAGGAAACAGAAAATGAATAAACTTCCTGACTGTTTGGAGCGCGTTGCGAACCGGTGTTACACCATATTTTGTGACCGTAGCGGGCGGTGTTGCATGCACTGTTGCAGGTTACAGAATATGGTGTAAAACCGGGTCCAATCGACCAAACCAGAACCAGATTCCTCTGACCTTGTTTCACAAACAAAAAGCAAAAAAAAATGTAATCTCTAAATCTATAAAAAAAAAAAAAATCTATAAACATATTTACCTCTAAAACTAAACTTAATGAGCACCACAGCTGGTGGTGGTGCGGGGAGGTCAACACCCCCCCCCCCCCCACTGTGTTTAGTTTCCGTTTTGACATGCTGCACGTTTCTTCACGTTTGCAGCTTAAGAATAAAAACTAATAATTTAGTTTTTCCTGTGACTTGCTTGCTGCATGATAAATGGTAGGAGCATAATATATGCTCCCAATGTTTTGTTGGTCTTTTTTTTGTAAATAATGACCATTTTTGCGGTTTTATTTATTTTTGTATCTTTAGATCCTATGATGTCATCAAGTACTCGAGTTCTACTCGAGTTTTATTATGTTAATGTCGAGTTTAAAAATTATGTAATTGTTCAACCCCTTTGTTACACAATTTTTGTAGCAAATAAGCCTAAATAAGAGGGCTATGTTCTGACAAAGGAAAGCATATAAAAATATTGGTATTGGTTTATCGGCCAAATAACTTTTAACATATCGGCATATCAGATATCGGCCAAAAATTAAATCTTGTGCATCCCTTATACATATATATATATATATATATATATATATATATATATATAAACCGCATACTATCAAAGGAAAAATTGCAACTGTTTGCCTCCTAAAATTTGCTGCGTCATGTTGGATTTTTTTTTTTTTCAAGTAATTCCACAAGTTTATTGTAGAAAAATCTTGGCAACAGTAAACAACAGCAATACTTTTTAAAAAAGACAGAGTGAACAAGATTCAGTAGATTAACAAAGGTTTTTCCCTCCTCCTCATGCTGGAGCATTTGTGAACGGAAGTGTGGCAGCGGAACAAACCCCTCAGTTTAGTCACTGAGACGTGCACGGTTTTGAAATTGAGTCCTTCAATCCCTCCGTTCTCAAGGAAAAAGAGAGAAAGGGTTCGGGTAGACTCAGTGAAGGAAGGAAAATGAAGTAGAAGAAGAAAAAATGAGGGAAGGCAAGACAAACTGGTCAACTGTACATATAGGTTTACCAATATTGAAAAACATAAAACATACTTATTCCAAGACATAAGTTAAACTAAAAATAATAAAATTACAAGTTAACGGAATGTACTGTATATAGTTAGCATATTTGAAGATACATTATTAAAGACAATAATATATTTTCCTCACATTTTCCAACATACTAAAGCAGGGGGAGGTTCTCTGCAGGACTGAATTTGTTAAAGTCAGACATAGTGTTTTTATACTAGGAGGGCTTAATGTTTCCTTCCCTAATCTCACATCCTCTATCTCTGTATTGCCTCAGTAAGTCTTCTGCCCAAGCTTGC